GTCAGTGGAATGGAAGCCCTGATGAGGCATATTCGCAGCTCCGCAAAACCCAGGGAGGGCGGCATCTTTTCAGAACCGCATTGGACTGTTTGGATGAATGCGAGCTAAAGATGTGAAGCGCCTAGCTGATTTAGGCAAAGCCCACTTGAGGTGGCAGGCAGAACTGCCGCTCATAGCTGGTGAGCTGGCCTCATAAGCATTAGTTTTTCCATTTTGGCTACGGAGAGTACTATCAACTTTTGAATGGGCAGGATGTTCGTGGCCTTGGACCCATGTGCACACTGCTCCAGTGCCTGGTAGGACATTCAGATCCTCGCCCAGGGAAGCCGCCTGAAGCGCCTTCTCGTAGCCTCGGTGACCGTTTGGGCTTAGTTACACAAGCGGATTGCTCCGACAAGGCCTGATTGGCAGGGTCCTTTGGGGCTTTGATAGTGCTTGTACTCGCACACGCGTAAGGAAAACACTACCGTGCGTGGCCGCGGAACCCTGTTTCCTTCGTTGCAAAAATCTGTCTGACACTTGCAAAAGGCTTTGACAACAGTGGCAAAAGAAGCTGTGCCCAAGCTCCTACAATCCGGCTGGGTGACAGACGAGCTTGCTCATAAAACTGACCGAAAAGCACGTTCTCCTGGCCGGAGAAACTGTCAGCTTCATGACTCCGGGCCCATGCGCCCCTGCAACAAACAGCTCCAGGCTTTTGGCCCAATCGGTTTTCCGTGATGTAGGTCACGGGCAGCAATTGCACAATTCCTCCTGTAGAAAGGGCTTGCGGGAGGGTGTCAAGGTGGCAACGCGGGGGACACAACGGCAATAGCATTTGGATGAAGAATGCTATGTTGCCACCTCGGCAGACGACCAGATCTGTATAAACGGCAGGAAGTCCATTGTACGTAGGCTGCAGTCGAGACCGTCAGAGCGGTGACGGGAAACATGCCACCTAGTACTTGAAAAAAAAAAGGCGTGCCTTGTGTTGACCATTCCACCATTGCACGGTCTTTCATCTTCCTGCTATGGCTGTCTAGGATGCTTCAGTCTGCCGCCTGCTGATGGATTCTCCTGCTCGACACGGCAGAGCCGTGCTTCATCTGCGCCGCGCATCCCCGAAATCCAGACCGATCTTCCCAGGCGGATCTTAAATCTGTAGATCGTCATACCCTCACTTTTGTGTCATGGATTTCAGGGACAGTGGCACGTGCTGAAGCAGGTGGGAACTCAAAATGACGTGGCTTCAGTTCGTACAAGTACCATGTAGACTTTCCTCGTACCCCCAAGGGCAGCCACACTTCAAGGAGAAACCCCACCTCCTCTTAAATTGGCATGCGTCCAGACGACACGCTGGTCCACTTTGCAATCGCAGGGATGGAACAAAATCGTGGCAGCCACCATGCAGAGGGTTTGCGCTGTGATTCTTCATCTCATAATTCATCTGATGATGGTGGGGCTGACAACTCTTGGTATCGAAGACGCGCATTGATACAGCCTGCTGCCACCGACTTTCGCCTGCGGGTGTGGGGTGTCCTGCGGAATTGTCTGCCTCTTGGAGCTTTGCCAGGGCATGCATGGGCCATCATGGCTCCTACTCGAGGGATGCAGCCCGATGCAAGTGGGGCACAGCCGCTTTCATGCGTCTTCCTAATCTACATCCTAAGCTACTTGAAATCACTCCATGTGCAGGCGAGTGGGCCAGGGCTATGCAGCAACAAAGTAATCCTCCCGCTAGACTTGCTACCCAAACGAATCGCAAATCAAAACCTTTCAAAGCTGCGCTTTTGTCGACTCAAAAGGCCACATGCCTGCACGTGGGAAACGGCCCAAAGGGCCAAACACGCGAGCTCTGAATCCTCGTTTTTCTCAGCTGCAGCTCGGGTTGGCATCACACTTGTGTAAGTATGACCGAGTCTGGCGCGTGCTTTGCTAGAGCTATGAATCTGTAGAGTCTTGCCTGGTGCCCTTACCCTTCTCATTATGTTGGCTGTCATCTTCCTAAGGACGAGGATTTGGCGCGTCTCAAGGCTTCAGTCCAAGCAGGACCCTCCGGATTCTTTCCGCGCCACATAATCAGACCAGGCGATCTTGACAGTTTTACACGGGCCGGGCAACCTGAGAAGAAAAAGAGCTACAGCAAATGCTGTGGGAGAGCTTGGGTTGGAAGTGCTCGTACGTCTATCACTGCTATATAAACTCTATCGCCTTGTCACCATTGCTATACCAATCTCAGCCAATTCATTTGACAGCCAATGCTTGGTCTAATTACTTGTGCAGTGCAAGATGTTGCTGTGTGCCTTCTCTCTTCGAACAGTCCCTGATCCAAAGGGGTTTTGGAGGGACTCTTTCTGAGATAGGGATCATGAGATCATGTGAGGATGCGTACCCTGAACAAACACAGCAGGCCTCTCGAAGACTACTCAAATCAGGTGGGCCTGGGGCTTCGCGAAATAGTGGGTGTTTGGGGCCCCCTAAGCACGGAAATTGCAAAGGGCCAATGCGCGGTTGATGCTTGTGAGGGGGAGGCTAAGCCCAGGGCTTTTTGCGAGTGGCTTGCGACAGCCAGCTCTCCTGAGACAAGGGCCGTAGCAAGCTGTCCTCACATCCTGACCTTCAGCCTGAGTGATGCTTACCAGTCAGAGGCTATTCCCATCAACTTTGGCTCTATGCCCGTGTTCTTCCCGTTGTTCCCCCACAGAGCTTGTAGATGTACGAACGGATATGCTTGCAAGACGTGTGCTGGTTGGAGTTTGAATTTCCACGACTGTGCTGCTGCTGTCGTTATCGCTGTCGTTGTGGTCATTGTTGCTGCTGCTGCTGTTGTTGGTGGCCGCGGCAGCGAAGACGATTACGATGATAATTGCACTGAAAACCTTCACACTCGCAAGCTCGACATACACCATGCGTACCGCTTGCTTTCAACGAGTGCGGCTGAGTGCCATCCTGTCGCACTCATTGTCACTACTAGTTGTTGGTATTGTTGTTGCTGCTGTTGGTGTCACGTCTCTGATGATCGCTGACACGACGTTCATATGGCAATCATGATATTGTTCTTACCTGAACCCATAATCGTGATGTTTTGTCAGAAACAGCACATTGCTGCGTTGGTGGCCATGATTGTGATACTGCGTGTCATTGTCAAATGCCCGATGGCCTGCCATGCCAGTCTCTGCGTGCCATCGCGCCGCAGCTGGGGCCGCGAGGGCTCGCACTCATCATTCCTTAGTGAAAGGGCAAAGACATTCACACACCTGTAGGTACACAAATGAATCCGGCTAGCTGTTATGCGCATCGTTTGGCAGGAACATTCCTGTTTTTAGAGGCTTCCGCCTTCAAGCTGGAGGCAGCCGAATGCTGGAAACTATCACCACAGGGAGGGGATTGATGCTGCTGTCGCTGTCAAACACACTTGAGATTGTCAACCCTGAAATCTTCAGCCCTGCATTCTACTACTCACTACTCAATCTTGATACCCTATCTCTGTTTGTGCCCCAACACTGTAACAGGGACTGCGATTCTGACACCCATCCTTGTAGCACTGCTTTTGGACGACTGCGACATGAAAGCTTGAAAGGCAAGGCGTGGGATCTTTCACACAGAACGGGCCCACAGGAGTGGCAACTTGCCTTGATTGCTTTTTTGTCAAGAGGGCTGCATACTCCTTAGTGGCTTCTTGGGCCTTGCTGCCTACAGCTAACGTGTAAATACCTGTTGCTTTAAATTCCCTGCGCTCGCTGCGATCATCGTAAACCATAAGTTGAGCATGGCTCAGCCTCGTATACTAGTGCAGCCGTGGCTGCAGCACCGTCGAGGCAGTGTCGGTACTTCGAAGGGAGCTCCTGTCAGCATTGATAATTTAACCAGGCCCGCGGGATTCATTTTTTTTGTTAACGGATCTGCAAGTTTGTGAGGAAGCGCAGCCCGTGCCGTCCTGACACCTTGCCACCTCATCCATGCATAATGCAGAAGGACCCCTTGTGACAAACAGCCACATATCTTCAGCTCGGAAACGGCAGGAGTCATGTTGAGAGGGCTCCGCATACGATCGCTTTTTTGAATATCGGGGGATCGTAGAAAGTTGTCTCTGAATCACTGAAAGCAGGAAACCGATGGAATAGTCACGTAGGTGTGGAAGTCGCTGTCCTGGGAGTGGTCTCCCGGAGGTCCTCGCTTGCCAGCCGGTCCCTGGGCGACCCAGCGGGAGAGGAGAACCTGAGATTGAGATTCAGGCTCTGCCAAATAAGTGTCACCAAGGGCGTTGCTTCGTTGCTGCAGTACTGTTATCTCACTAATTCCTGGTTCAGTGCGTTGCTGTTGCATTGTTAAAGTTTATTTGGGAAAATCATGGCATCCTGTCGCGAGGGCGTTGGATCATGGCAGGTTCCAGGGTGATCTTTGCAACCCTCCCAATCAAGTACTCAGCATTTGAAATATGCTGCTTCCATGATCAAGCAAGACAAGCTTGACACAAGATCTTGGCGGTTTTCCATGTTTGCGCGCTCTGACATATAGACCACCTGCAGGATGACGGAATCTCAGCCGCAGTGTCGCCAACACCCAAGTGCTGTCGGACACATTGTCTTTCCGTGCCCATGCTGCACAGTGCGCTCCCCAGGCTGGAAAGTAGCGAAATAAAGCAATGAAACAAGAACGGGGCAAGGCGGGTCTTGACAAGTCCCAGCCGCATTTTGTCACCAGACATGATTGAGCATCCCATTGTTCCCTAATTTACCCTTGTCAGGTCCTGGCGACCTTCCTCCATCCTTTTAGAAACTAGGCCTTTGGGAGCATCCCATAAGCGGCCTGAATTAGCGCCCTCGGGATTTGCAGGGCGGTTCAACAAGCAAGGTCGTGGATCCTGCTGAGACTGCTCGCTTTGCTACAAACCAATTCAGCAAAAATCTCCTGGGCTGACACCTGGCCCGGGGCTTGCGGCACAAGGGCTAAATACGAAGGCTCGTCATGCAAGGCCTCGCAAGCATCTCCGCAAGATCCGCCACAGCCATCCTGGTGGCTCAGCTCACCACACATCTGGATGAAGCAGCCTCACTTGATGTCGAGCTTGCTGAGCCATCTTCGACGGCCTTTTCGACAAGCTCCACCGCCGCCTGAAGCAAAGGCAAAAAGTGACATTGGCATCATCTTAAACATCGAAGAAGATTGCAGGCGATTTCGGTTCATAAAAAACATACAGGTGTTACATCAGACTGTGCTTTGGGTGGGTGGAACTTGTCGAATTCGAGTTTGAATTCGACGTCGACGTCCGAAAGGTCAGAGAGTTGGGGGAGGACCTCTGAAGCTGTCTTTGGCATGGGGGCACATAACAACTTAAAGGATTGATTTTAGAATTTGCTTACTGTGGAAGCTTTGTTTTGCATCTTGGAAGCAAATGTCTCGAAAGTCTCCACAACGCGAAAATGCTTTGAAGTCAGTATACGGGCTCCCGTAATCCACAAGAATCATGGCCCACAAACCCGCACCCAAAGTTCCAAAAATCTCATGAGACTGCTTTAGTTCTAATTCGTTCTTTACTAAGTAAACACCTTCCAACCTTCTTGTCCGAATGGCAAACTTCATTCTGCTCTAAGACAAATTCGAGATTAGTGTGTGTGTAGATTCTCTGAGTTTTCCTGTTGGATGGCTTTCTGAAAAACATGCTTTCCTGACTCTCAAGGAATAACTCCCATTTCTTCTTTCTTAAAACATTTTCAAGTCTTGCTCAAAAGAAAAATTTGATTTTGTTGCCTACTGTTTGCATAAGCTGCTGGCCTGTAGAAGTCTTCTCGACTAGCACAGCAACACTAGCTAAGCCTAGAAAAGCTACAGCGACCTGCTGGGTAAAGGAAGGTTCTTCCTCACTTGAGATTTCCGTCGTGGCTGCGTCACCACAAGCAGCAACACATGTAGAGTTCCACTTTTGCTCCTCTTCCTACTTTTACTATTACTACTACTACTCCTACTACTGCTCCTCCTCCTCCTCCTACTACTACTACTACTACTCCTACTGATACTCCTACTGATACTCCTACTGATACTATTACTCCTACTGATACTACTACTACTACTGCTGCTGCTACTACTACTACTACTACTACTTCACCGTCTTCCTAAGCGGGGAAAGGGGTTTTTCCAGTTCAAGTGCGGTTTGTACTGTGTTACATTGCACTTGGGAATGGGACATGAAGTGGGATGTATTTTTGAAACACCTGGTTGGCTTAGGTTCGTCACGGGTTTCGATGTTGTCCAGCCACACTGAAGGCCAAAGTGAGCACATGCCTCGGGACCAGGGCTTTGCCGCAGGTCGTCGGAAATCCTCCTCGCCTTTGAAAGACCAACATGGGATGTGGATGGGGTAGTGAGAGGGCGACCTGACATAATGACACTTTATTCTTGATTTTACGCCAGCTGCTGTAATTCCAAGACTCCAGCCATCTATGCCTGGCTCATCGAGCGTCGAACATGCAAGCCTCAAGCTCCCTTTTCATTACTCTCATTGCTGAGATCCCGGCACTGGCCGTGACCATGACTGCTGCTAATGTAGCATGCCAACAGCAGAGATGACAAACTGCACGGTCTCTTGTTAGGAAGCTCCCATTAACTAATAGTGAGCATTAATCAGAACCTCCGCGGCACGGATCTCTGCAACTGAATACCAACATCTGCAAACCTGTAAAGCGTGAACGTCTGCTTCCCGTCTTAGCCGCAGGCATTGCCCTGGTAAGTCTGAATCTTTGTCAGAACCTGCAGTTTGGACATGCTGCAGCCAGTCAATGAGCTCAAGGGTTGAAACAAAGCCGCCCACTAAACGGTAAGTTCTAAAGTCAGGGTCCCTTTATGATCCTCAAACTAGTGAAGGCTCTGGGCAGAGCGCAAATGGACCTATGATATTACATTAGTAGAGCCCTGCAGGGGAAGCTCAAACGGGATTCCAAAACAAGGGTACCTCACTCTTGCAGCCCTTATCGGTTCTACACAGAACTTCAAGGACAAGTTCCTTCAAAGTGGTGCAGTCTATTGCAGATTCTTGGAACCCCAAAGAAGCACTAGCGCCGAGACTCATCGATTTCTATCATTCAGGTAAGCTTCATAAAGGCCAGGCTTATGATGGGGAACCACCGGGCGCTTCCTTTTGAGTTTCGGGCGCTGTGCGGAAATCTCCAGAACCAAGTTTACATGTGCTCTCAGCCATGACCCGTTTGACACTTTCTTGTCCATCCTTGGAGTAGCATCCCCCTGAATCCCAAATAATCCCTGCGTTAGCCCACAGACCCCTCTTAACCCTACTCCTACTCGCCCTGCTGCCATGGCTTGGGCTTCGGCTTGCTGACCAAGTTGCGTCTTTTACAGCCGCTGCAACAGCCCCCGCTGTCACAGAGCTGGGCTTCAGCAAAGGGCCGCAGCCCTTCCGATTGAGGATGCGCGCCTGGTGGGGTCGAAGTGATCTGGTCGAGCTATTGAAGGCAGGAGTCATGGGTAAGGGCACCTGAAATGGCCATAGGAGCAGGGGCAGGGTTCGAGTGGTCATAGCAACTGTAATATCCTCAAGAGCATCCACAACACTTCAGGCTCTGAACCTGAAAGTGCAGCCTGGGCACGTTTTGCTGTTGATCTCCAAAGCCGGGGAAGCAAATCACTGGCTTTGCCGCCATCATGCACCTCAGTGGTGAGGGCCTCTCTGGACTTTTGGTTCGCCCCATCCACAAGGGCCCCGATGATCTGCGAAGGACTGGCTTGAGCATCTTCAGCTACCTCCTGCATCTGTCGATGAAAACATCCTGACAACTTCAGCCCTCCTCCCAAAATGCCCCGAGATGCCCGATTCTCTCTCAAAAGTCCAATGGAGGTCAGCAGAAGCGAAATATGTCTGAAAATAGCTGCTAAAATGTTGCTGCAAGGCACTCGAGGGAGCCACCCCACCCGCAATGGGTTAACACAGCGGTCAATTCCTCTTCAAGGCACTGCAATCAGGAGCGGTCGTTGGCCAAGGCAGTTCTTGCAAAAGCAGACCCCAAGACTCGCAATGAATTGGTTCTACGTACGTACAGTCAAGCACGCCGAAAAAGACTCTATACCATTGCGTTGCGCTTGCCCTGGCTAGAGCATGCTGCTCCTGCAGGGAGAGGATCTCGACTTGGGGCATCCAGGCTGCGATGAGGAAGTCCGCAGAAAGAGGCTTGGGAAGAAAGTCTCGCTTGGTGTCCTGCAGTAGAAACATATCTGACATGCAAGCTTTTCTGGCTGACAAGCCTGCAAGACTGCACCTACACATCCAATTCACGCTCAATACGCTCAACTGGAACAAATCTGCATGGAAGTTTGCTTTGCAGCGACAAGGGCCCTAAAAGCCCTCAAAATCTCCTAGCCATGGACACGATTTAACCACTGGCAGCGCAGAAATATGTTTACGACTTGCAACCTTAGCCCTGCTAAGACTAGATGACAGCCAGCCTTCAATGACCACAGCACCCGAACGTCGCAGGAGGCGAAACCCTCGTAGAGCGCCAGGACCTGCTCCTGGCGGTCTTCAGAATGCCCCAGTCATGACATGTCATAAGGCGAATGCGTAGGCGATGATGGCTTGATGCGGCTTGGATACTCCCAAGCCCAGTCACAAAGACTACATGTCATTGCTGCCAACTGACCATCAAGCAAAATGAAAACCATGTCAACAGAATTGACAAGACAGCCCTTCAGCCAGTCAGTGATGTTCTTTCATCTGCTTGGCATATCAAGGCTGGCAATCTTTGTCGGATAGACAGGTAGATCCCTTACTTGCGAACATCCAGCAGTCCTTTGACAAGTCCATCAAGCTCCCTGTCGTGATGTAAAACAGTGGTTTTGCCTGGGACTTCGCTGTCCTTGGATCACTACGTGTTTTTCTCACTTTTTGACATTCTGTGTCACTCACTGGTGTTCTTCTTGGCATTCTGAAGCAGGAAACCTGCTCAGCAGCTCAGAACACGGATGCCCAACACAAACCGCTTGGAATAGCCATGCAGCTTCACGAATTGAAGGATGTCAGCATGGCGAGAGGGTAACAGCGGTTTTGCTGCAAAGCCGTCCAGAGGCCTAAGTTCCCATGACGCCAGATTCGGGCACAGCCTGACCTTGCAGCCCACCCCAACATCCTGGTGATGCCTGGCAAGCCCTAATCATCCCTAATCCAGACTGAGCCTGACAAACGCGCCACCAGCTTCGCAGGCAAACCGAGGGACCCGGAGATCAGAAAGTTAGGCGGCAAAGAGATGCGACCGTCCTGAGGTGTTCAGACTGCAGATGGATCCAAATATACAATCACGAGTCGGCTTAGCGGTTCGCTTCCTTAATTAAAGGGTCCACAGTTCCATAGTTCCTGGAGGCTGTGAGGTTCCTGGCGCGGGAGTCTGCAGACCTTGCCATCCAAATCTTTACCGTGCCGTCGCATCAAACTTGGCAAGCAAAGCGAGACCAGTCGTTTCTTGTACTAGGCTTCGTCAGGCTGGGACTCTTGAGCTGTTTCTTCAAGTTTCACGATATCAGCATGCGCCGGTCAAAATCTCCTTCCCCAAGCGAGCGCTGCTCCTAGTTCCAGACTAGCACCACACAGCAATTCTGCTCTGGGCTGGGAGGGATATGGCACTTGATATGGTCCATACTGCAAGCGCGGACTCTAAGCATGAAAGCAGGCCCACAGCGCCAGTGGCAACTGACACTTGAAACCATTTAGCCACATGGGCCAACATGACTGAATCTGGTTGAAACGTCACCACGAACAATTCCTTAACTCTGCAAGGAGCCCAACATTCCTGAAGGCAACAGCGCTCCTCAAGAATATAGTCAGCAGCAATTCGAAACACGGTGTATTCCGTAGTTGAGAGTACATGTGGTAATTATGATTGTCGGAGCCACCAGGCACCTGGTACTTGGAGGCAGTATCCCCTTTGAATGGTGCTGACTGAGTGGCCAAAGCTGAGGAGCTGTTCACGATGCCTCAGATGCGGGGCAGGTCAGAATATACCCGTGACCAGACTGAGCAAGGCGAGCCTGCCTTTTGAAAGATTTCTGCGTTCACACCAACTTACACGAAGAGAGGGATACATAGACACGTCCCTAACGGCACTGTAAACATCAGCCCACCCCCCCCACCCTCTCCCCCCGCGCATAGATGGTGGGCATTCCAAACGTCTTACCCAACTTAAATGGCAGGATTGCGAATCTTGGGGAGGGTACTTACTCGCTCTGCCTGGTACGTGACTTGGCGTCTGAAAGCCTTCTCCACCTGATCATGGCAGTCCTGCTCTCTAACAGTTGAAGCCTGAGTTGTTATCCGTATTGTAATAAGTTGTACGGTTAGCGCGAACAGCAGCAACCAAAATAATGCTACTACCGTTACCCTCAGCACCGAGTTCGGGACAAACCACAACCGTTTCTAGGAGTCTCTACACAAAGATGTCATTTTTTACACAACTGCAGGAAGCATCCTCCAGCCTCCCATAAATTCTCATCAGTGAGTCAGATCTCGAATTTGAGGGCCATTGATGGTGGCTTGCCATTTGAACTACATGGAACCCCACAAAAAATTGCAAAGCTTTCAGGCTGTCCTTAGAATTCGTCAGGCGGCTGGGCGCAGTCTTGAGCGCTGGCACTGCGACCTGGCCCAAATACTGAATGGCGTGCTTGTCCTGGGCGCTGGTTAATTAATCTAGGTACAGTAGCAATGTTAAAATGCGAAAGCTGGCATGCCATGAGTCCATGCGGTTGCCAAGACAGGGCCCTGAGGGCAAGCTGCTTGTCCGAAAGTTTGTGGAAGCAAATGCTAGCAACCCACCGCAGGACGTAGCAAGCAAGTCCAGGAAAAAACACGTCACCGAAACAGAGCGCAATGTCAACCATTGGAATGACAATAGAGTTCAGGTGTCGGGCTATGGGCTGCGCTTGAGGCTAGAGCAACCACGCAGACAACAGTGCCAGCGCCAAGGTTGCAATTAGTTTCGCAGTGGTACCCTTGTTCACGCAGGCCTTGAGTGCCAAGTCTGCAAAGCAATGTGCTTTCGACGCGAAGTGCCCCGAGATCTTCTGACGATGAAGTCCTGTGCCTTGCGGGCGCTTCTCTTTGAGGTTTGCGAGGTTTGCCTCTTTCTGCAAAAGCTGGAAATCATCAAGGGAGGGGGGGGGCGGGAGCGAATCGGAGCGAAGATCTACGCGTCGGTTCAATGTCTCAGGCACAGCCCTCATGAAGTGGCTTCCTTGCAAAAGATTGCCTGAAGAAAGGAGATGCCGCGGGTGGTGAAGGAGTGACCTTGGCACGTGCCTTTCCTGAGCATCTTTATCTTTGCGTCCACGCGCCAGCGGATCTCGGTGCCTTCGCGTCAGAGCATGCCACAACAAGCAAGGGCGCGATGAAGACCATGGGGACGACCCCCTGCAGCTCGAGCAGGCATTCGAGCTTAGCCACTAAGACTGTCCCCAACAACATAGAAGTCAACCAACAATGCAATCAAACCACCCCAACTACCCAGAAATCTCATCAGCGAAGCTGAGGCTCTCCGACTTGAATCCAGTTGCTGACTATGTAGTTCAGGAGAGGGTTGTCCGCAAGCAGCACTCTCCTGGCTGCTTGAGCTTCCGGCAGCCTGCTTGTGAGAACCTGTCACCCCCACTACTCACGCTCCTGCTGCCACTGCTGCGGCTACTGCTGCTACTGCTACTAAACCTCGCACCACAGCCAAGGAGCCTTAGAAGACTGGCGGGCATTGGCACATTGATGACCAGTGGCAACTGCATCTCCTTCGCCTGGTGTTCTAAAGCACGCAGATTGGAGTTCTTAACCAAAAGAGCTACCGATGAGCAGGGAACATTCAACATTTCATAGAGCTTGCTTTGAGAAAGCATAGATTCCCAGTGCACCGAACTATTGAGGTGTTGGCACGCGCCACTCAGAATGCATAGTGCCTGCTCATAATAAGTAGCAGTAGCCTTGATGCAGAAGGGTCCTTGCTCCTGATTGCTAGATTGGCAATCTAACACCTACCAGCGCCGAACAATCATTAACTCAAAACACATCAATACCGCAGAGCCGTTCAATCCATTCAAGGCAGTTATCACAAGGAAGACGCCCCCAAACAGCGTACCTCTGGGGCCTTCCAAACAAACGCTGGTGCAACTCCCGCGTCATCCCCATTCCGAAGCAACCCGGGTATCAACGGATGCCCGGGTTACCCAAATCCTCTTCACACAAACATGCACTGCTTAAGGCTTAAATCCTTGTACATACCCAGTGTCCATTTCATTCTCCTGCTGATTTTTCCATTATGGGGGCTGCATACCCCCGTACATCCCGATCGATGGTTTCCATTTCGGTTCTCTGATAGGGAGCCCCCTCAGGATTGCTTCAAAAGATCCCCTGAACCCTAAAGCCCTGTGTCCAAGGCCAACCGGCCTGGAGAAGGCCAGCACCACTGGCAAAGTCGGCGACAACCACATCAGGCTTCCAGTTCTGCGATTTTCCCAGGAGGTCTGGAAATGCATGTAAAAGGCACATGATAGGGAGCACGAATGTGGCTGGTCTTAATGGTCGAACAGAGCCTGGATCTCAGAACGTAACTGACAACCTAAGCATTCCAAATTCCTGAAATGGCCGGGTTGTTTTTCAGTCAGTCTGTACAACAGGATGTCGAGTTTCTTGTGGGGACTTCAAGCGTGGGCTAGGACCACTGGAATGATACTTCTCGATCTTCATCTCGACCTTACCAGCTGGAGTTAAAGACACCGTGAAGCGGAAGGTCGCGCAGTGTAGGAAAATGGATGGCAAGTAAAACGTTACGGGCTTTGGGCTGGCAAAAGCAGCAGCAAGCAGGCCTTGATCATCTGAGCCAGCAGCGGGCCATGTTTCTCGGTGAAGTCCATGAACACAGGGCCTCCCGCTGGCTCAGAATGGAAACGCTCAGAGTTACCAAGTGCTGGGCAAAGATTCCTCGTTCATGCTTGCAGCCATGACAAGCCGGAAACCAAGCAGAATCGACATCTTACGTGAGGCTTGCTCACCTTGGACCATGCAAGCTTAGCACATCCCAATAGCTACTTTGGTAACAGTCCCTGTCTGCATTTTCATTGACGGCAACTCATTGCTGATCCCTGGTCGGCGTCCTTCTGCTGGATGGATGGTTCGCAGCTCCTCCGCTGTCATGGCATCTGCCAGGCCACGAAACATGTAGCCGGACCTCTAGGAAGGGTCCAAGGAGGGGGGGCCGGAGCTTGGATCAGGGGTGGGGATTGTGATGGCAAGTTTTCACGGGAGATGCAAAGCTGTGTCTGCTCAAAAGTCACATTGTCGAGGCACCATCAATAAGGAGGTTTGAAAGCCGCCTGCGCAAAACATGCAGAATACACATACTATTCACACTGCACTCTCGCATACGACCTACAGCGCTAGACGACAAATGTCCACCACTGTGGCTTCAGCAGCTCTAGTATTGAGTATGACTATCATCTTGACTACCGTATTTGGTGACCTTGCGACCCAATATGCACACATACTTAGGTACATACATTCATGGGCACATGCATGTGTACACAAACATGTATAGATTAGGGACATCTCCGCTACTGGCCTCCGACAGCTCTCGGCCACCTTCCCCGCAAGCCCCTGCGAGCTGACGAAGATGACCTTTCAGAACTTTGTGGGTCCTTTTTTGTGTTTCTGAATCTTCGTGGGATGGAGCTAGTAGACAAACCCTTGTAAACAAGGTCTGAATTCTTCAAGGGGCAGAATCGGCTCAGCCCCGTCCCGTTCAGAAAGTGCAGGCTTCCACCCATGATTAGCACCGTGCAAGCACTCATCCGGGCCTCATGGCCCTTCTTGGCCAAAGCGCTGGCAAGGCCTGAGATCTTTCCGTGCTTTTTTGTAGTCAGTGGGCGTATACGACCACTTACACATCTTTTGACAGCAAAGGGAAATTGAACAGCAAGAGCCACAGCAAGCTTCTCACGTGCTACCGGCTCCCACGTATCCAAGACTAGCTGTAGACATAGTGCTTACACAAGGCCACCCTTCCCACATAAATGGGAGGTATAAGTCAGCGTTTTTGGGCCGACGTTCTGGGATCGCTTGTTTGTCGCTGGCTAGAATCAAGCCACAAGTGGGAAGTAGCCTGAGTCCTGCTCTAGTCTTGACCCACCAATCAAGCTTTCAAACTCTCCTTCTATAAGTCTTGAATGGGCAGCTGCAGCCTTGAATTCCTTGGCAAGATGCTCAAGGTGGGTGTCACATGCCCCATGAGAGGGCAGGAGTAGCAAAGCACTTTCAGTTTGGGCGCAGATTTGCGCCCGACTTTGCGCCTTAGTGAGAACAAGGACTTTCAAGTTCTGTATACCTGGAGTTGCGCTTTTGAGCTATTTTCTGTGGTTAACGTACTGCATATGTACATATCATACACACATAATGCAAGGCGGTTTTGAAGCAGTGCCAAGAACCTCGGTGTTTGTGCCTGACTGAGATTCTTGCAGACCTTATACGGGTTCGGTCTGTGGCTTTTGAGGGCTTGAATGGGTTGGGGCCAGAGGCTGTGATGCTGCAATGTCTACCTGGGGATTTTCCCAAAATTAGGAGCACCTTTTGGGGGTCCCTAGAACAAGGGTTATAGTATTTGGGCGATGCAGAGAGGTGCACCCTGATGTGGAGCTACCACAGAAAAGCATAGAATTACAGTTTTCAATTAAACTGAGTCAAAAGTTGCAATAACCATTCTCACCGTACCTGTACCTGCCTGCTACACTCCCCCAAAAACAAAAACCATGAATTTCAGTGACTTTCATATACAATTTGGGCAACTACTCATCTCCAGACGAGAATCTGGTTGGGCGATCCTGCCACATCTTGGGATTCCGCCTGCCTCTTCATGGCTCAAGCGATGCTTCCGGCCGCACGGCCCAGGAGCCCAACTTCAAAGCGCAAAGCTACTGGTGGGGATGTCCAAATAGAGGGGCTCCAAGAGACCCTAGGGACATTTATGCGGTCTTCGTGGAGATCCTAGGAGTGCTTCTTCGTGAACTGCGCAGGAATTGTTTAAAAAAAGCTCCTAGTCGGGTGGTGTCTCCAAAGTTGCCATGTTACCTGTCCTGGAAACTGTTAAGCTGTCTGCGGCGCGTGCCTGCTGTACAAGGTACCTATTTTCACACAGTTTCCTATACAAGGCCCGCTCATGGGGATCGCATCCTACCATCTCAGATCGTGCACAAAGAGCCAAGGCGAGGCGGCGAAAAGACTTATTGGTGGTTAGTAGGGAATAAGGGACTTGAATATGATCCCTATATAGCCCCTATATAAGGTGTTCCCTGATTCCCTACTAACCCCCAGTAAGAAGAAAAAAGGCTTCAGGACAGAAATTTTGCAGAGGTCAATTCTTGAAGGCCTTAGGGCTCCGAGCCACCAAGTACAGAGTTCGGGATTTTGCTTCTGTTTTGCAGGGCGGGAGGTTGTGCAAGTCCATCTGGGATGACGGCCCGGCAATTCACCAACAGGTTCCACGATGCTGTTCCCAGAGGGCTGGAGGAGTGAACTTCCGTAGCAAAAACGGCAAGAAGCTGAGTGCTATTCATCGGTCACACTTCTTTCGCTGCAAAGGAGATTGGCAGTTCTTTCTCGAACGTCGGAAGTATGACCTTAGGACCTTTCATTACTGTTAGAAGTGGCCTTGTTGTACAGGACTTTCTTCCTCCTGTGGGTTACCTTTGAGAAGGATTGACAATTGAGCTCCCTCCAGGAGCCCTCGAAAAAATGATGCAACCAAGGGGCAAGCTAGTAGACGGCTGTGCCAGGCTGCAGTATACCACTTCACGGAGGTCCTCGTTGGCAAGGTAGCCTACTCCCTTGCAGGATTTCAGGGCTACAATCACCTTCCTGGTTCATCTAGAGGCCCTATCAAAAGGCCTGGCCAGCTCACGCAGACTCTGGGCCACATGTTTTATTACTCGGTTCTTTCCAGAATAATTAGCTGGGTGGCCCAAGCTGACATTCAAATCTAAATCGGAAGGTTTATGGGTCTCGTATCAGCCAGATCTGGGTGACCGCCCATAACTGCAACCTCGTGGGGTTCATGGAAGTCCAGTGAATTCAACATCTCAGCGAAACAGGTATCAAAAAGCAAACGCTAACACCTGCCCATTCACCACTCCCGCATTCAACTTTTGAAGCACGTCCTCGGTGTCTGCCGCTGCCTGGCCTCAGACAAATCCGCACCCATGCTGCAGAATGCCATCTAACCTTCGTCCTGCGCATCGTTGCGCATCTCGCCAAGTGGCTGAACAGCTTGTGGAAAGGTGTGGGCCCCTGCGTTGTCGAAGCCACCTTGGATAAGGCTGGTATCAGAGCTCTGCCTCCTGTTGAAGGGCGCGCAAATGCGCACTGTCCAGGTTTTGGGTCACACAGGCTTAGCCAATGCGCCTTCATGTTAAGAACTGGGGATATACTTGTCCAATTAGATCCGGCTTCATGACAGCTGAAACGAGAGCACCAAAAGCAATATCCTCTGCCTTCAAGTGGCGTCTGAACCAGATGCCCTAAATTGCATTCATCTTTCTGTTGCGCCCTTTCGTCTACAGTTTGGTCTACAGTGTGAATTGACAAATCTCAAGATATCTCTTGTCAAGCCATGCTGCCTCCTTGTCACCAACGTGGGCTCCAACCTTCGATGCTGGTTTGACTCTGGGAAATTGGGAATTTCTGGGCGCCATGCCCCATGCATGGTACCCTTAGGGCCAGACTCTTTGGAACTTACCTGGTCTTCCTGCACCCTGTTTAGAGAGCCGCGCCTGCCGAATTGCAGTTCTCTTGGCCGATGACTTCCGCACCTGTTTTGATGAGGGCGGGGAGAGCATGGGAACCCCAAACGACCTCGGCTACGACATTCTTGGGGGGATGATGCGAGATTCTGGCCGCCCCAGACTCTGGCCAAAACCTGTGGTGGTCATAAGGCTTGGGTCTGTTTGGCCTGTGGCCTTTTCGCTATCGTTCCTGTGCTGCGTACACATCTGCAGAACGATTCCAGCAGCGCATTGGACCCGTCCTCTGAACCACGGGACCTTGCTGATGCCGAAGGGGAGCCACCTGGCCTTAGCAGCAGTGCTCCCACTATAGTATATTAGGGTCTATTTTGGGGTCCCCCCATTTTGGGAAACTATGATATATCCCCCTAAACCCTAAACCCTAAACCCTAACCACATTTGCTGGGCATCTTGAATTTCATCCTCTCTCTTCAACTGCTAATTCCGTTGCCGCAATCTGTGCCCGGGTCGCAGGGAAGTATTCTGTGGAGCTTTCTATGCCAACCTCGCTTCGAAAACCTCTGCTTGGCTCTGGAACTTCTAAATCCATACGCAGGAGCAGATCTTCGCATTGTAAGCTCTAAACATGTCAGCCTGGAACATAAACCGAAACCCCTACATACCCTGATCCTGCCGTAAGCAGAACACATAAACGTTTCTTCAAGCCAAGGTAGTTTTAAGATTTCTCACGTCACGTTCTCTATGGTCGCTCTACTTGAAGGTACTATCAACTGGACCAAGCTCCTACCGAAGGGGTATCCTGAAACCTCGAACGTGCCTGTAGCTCACAGCTCAGCATGGTCTATCCTCCCCTCATAAATCTCCTCAACCCAACAGCAGCCATCATAATGGCTAAAACCACCCCCAATCCCATAATCTTACGACTACCAGAGCCTCCCCGATATGCACTCCACCAAACCGATAAGGCTGAAAAGCCGTACATGATATCCTGCTGTGACTCACTAGTTGGTAGCAGGGAATGGAGGAATGGATCCCCAAAGCAGCTATTGTAAGATATTCCGCAATAATATAGAATCACCCTTCTCTTTTCCGCTGTGATCCAAAATTCTTGTGGCTTCCATTTTCCACCTCAACCCCAAGCCTGCGATCCCGATATAGAGCGTTTTAAGCTCTAAGTAAGCCCTTGACTTGAAGGGGCTACTATCCCTACCTATATGAATGGGGTTTCTTGAGCCGTATAAGCCCTTCAAATAAAGGGCTACTATCCCTATGCGTATCCCTACTAACACCCCGCAAGTTAAAGGGAAGCCACTCTCTGTCTCTGCCTTGCGCCCGCAGGGACTTGGGCTCTTGGGGCTCTGTGACATGGAGCCGCCTGTTGCGAGGAAGAGGGTTTAGGGTTGCAGGTTTAGGGTTGAGGGATATATGGCCCATATTAGATTACAAAATTAGAGCCCATCTTAGCTCACAAAATTAGAATCCTTTCTGTCCTGATTGCGGTTTGTATAGGGACTATTTTGACTCCCAAAGATATGTGCAGGGGCTTTGGGGGGGTGTTCTTCAGAAAGTATGCAGAGGACAATGCATAGCAATCAAACCAGCTATATGACTAACATCTGTATGGTGGGGTTTTCTGAGGGGCACACAACGTGGAGAAGTGTTAGCAGCGTCCTGCTCAAGAACAACGCGCAGGATGCCGTGTTGTGTCTGTAACCCATGTACTGAGCAAACTCCGAAAACCCATGACAGGATGGCTTTGAGGCCGCTTTTCACCCAATCCTTTTGGAGTCCTATCCCAGCACCCTCAGCCCTGCGAGTATACTAGTCAAAAGCCGGCAAGGAGTCAGGTTCATGTATACCATATACCCCTCAAAACGCCAGGACTTGGGATGCCCCCTCATTCAGGGACCCATGATTTATGGAAACATCCCGTCCACTCTGAAACATCCCTAGACCCTGCGTCCCCAATATCTCCCCTTTTTGGGGGACACCAATTCCAGCCTAGAGTCTCCCTTCCCAGCAGCTTTGGCGAGCTCCGGACATTTCCAGCGGGCTCCCTGTTTGCCGGCTCCCGGTTGCCGGGCTCCCGGTTTACTGGCCTGGGTCCATTTGATAAACACTTTGAAATGTGCTGCGAGGGGGGAGGGGCATGCTCTGATAGACAGAGTCTGGTAAAGGCGTTTCGGATGAGTGTGGGCCGGGTGGGACGCACAACGCAGTCAACCTCAAGTTGCTCAAGGCCCACCCTGCTCTGAGGCAGCCGCGTCTTCTTGGACAGCCTCCCGCGAGCCTCTAAGATGCGACGCATGATCGGAATCCTGACTCGGCGAAGGCTACCGGATCATCAAGAACACTGTCTCATCGCAACACATGGCAGCACCGCGGACCTACTTGGTAATTAGTTTGGGGGCCGCTACCTCGCAGCGTAACGAAACAACAAACACAGAGACAGTCGACAGTCACTTCACAAATAGCTCTGTGCATCCTGGAAGGACCTTCCCGGTCTTCCACGGATCGTCGCCTTAATGCAGATGGCACACAACTGTTGACAGAATGTCTGGGAAGACTTCAAGGGTCCGCATGCTGGCCGTCAGGTTGCCTGCGCACTCCTAGCTTCATTGCCTTCATGTATCTTCCTGAGAGCATTTCTGGAAATGATTGCGGACCTCTCGTCAAGCTCCAGTTCAAGTTCTTTGCGGAATGGGGGGGGTTTGGGGGCGGCGGGCTGATGGTCCGAGAGTCGACGATGGCCCTGCTCAGGCTCAGGCAGTCACATTTAGCAATCCTGCGACGTTTTCTGCATGGCCGCACGAAAGACTCCCAACATGACTTTTTGCAAGCAGAGCTGCACCCAGAATGACGAATGCAGATGCGAGGTATGTGCACTTGAGGAGCGCGAGGTATCCTGGTAGCCTTGCCTGAGTCTCCCCAGCATGCAGGATGCGAATGTGCTGCAATACGCTGAAAATGGATACACGTCACACGCTGTAAACGGGCGAAGGCCTCGGAAACCAAATCATTTCTCTGAATCACTTGTTCCAAGTGAACAGCGTTCCCCAAACAACCGAGAACGATCTCAGCCCATGTCCACGTCACAAGCCCTCTTGCAAACGGTGC